GAACCAGAGGAACCTATTTTGTATTTTGTCTCCTGAGGGATCTGGAGGAAAGCTAATAAAGGCACCCGGCCAAAGGAACCTGAGGAACCAGAGGAACCTTAGGAACCAGAGGAACTAGAGGAGCCAGAGGAACCAGAGGAACTAGAAGAACCAGAGGAACCTATTTTGTATTTTGTCTCCTGAAGGATCTGGAGCAAAGCTAATAAAGGCACCCGGCCAAAGGAACCAGAGGAACCAGAGGAACCAGAGGAACCTGAGGAACTAGAAGAACCAGAGGAACCTGAGTAACCAGAGGAACCAGAGGAACCAGAAGAACCAGAGGGACCAGAGGAACCTGAGGAACTGATTTTGTATTTTGTGTGCATTAATGTGCACTGTCCTGATTAAATAAATAAATACATTTTTCTTTTAGGAAACAGAGGAACCAGAGGAACCAGAAGAAACAGAGGAACCAGAGGAACCTGAGGAACCAGAGGAACCAAAGGAACCTGAGGAACCAGAGGGACCAGAGGAACTGATTTAGTATTTTGTGATTTTGTGTGCATTAATGTGCACTGTCCTGATTAAATAAATAAATACATTTTTCTTTTAGGAAACAGAGGAACTAGAAGAACCAGAGGAAACAGAGGAACCAGAGGAACCTGAGGAACCTGAGGAACCAGAAAAAACAGAGGGACCAGAGGGACCAGAGAAACCAGAGGAAACAGAGGAACCAGAGGAACCAGAGGAACCTGAGGAACCTGAGGAACCTGAGGAACCAGAAGAAACAGAGGGACCAGAGAAACCAGAGGAACCAAAGGAGCCAGAGGAACCTGAGGAACCAGGGGAACCAGAGGAACCTTAGGAACCTGAGGGACCAGAGGAACCAGAGGAACTAGAAGAACCAGAGGAACCTATTTTGTATTTTGTCTCCTGAGGGATCTGGAGGAAAGCTAATAAAGGCGACCGGATAGAGGAACCAGAGGAACCAGAGGAACCAGAGGAACCAGAGGAAACAGAGGAACTAAAGGAGCCAGAGGAACCTGAGGAACCAGGGGAACCAGAGGAACCTTAGGAACCTGAGGGACCAAAGGAACCAGAGGAAATAGAAGAACCAGAGGAACCTATTTTGTATTTTGTCTCCTGAGGGATCTGGAGCAAAGCTAATAAAGGCACCCGGCCAAAGGAACCTGAGGAACCAGAGGAACCAGAGGAACCAGAGGAACTAGAGGAACCAGAGGGACCAGAGGAACCTGAGGAACCTGAGGAACCAGAGGAACCTGAGGAACCTGAGGAACTGATTTTGTATTTTGTGATTTTGTGTGCATTAATGTGCACTGTCCTGATTAAATAAATAAATACATTTTTCTTTTAGGAAACAGAGGAACCAGAGGAACCAGAAGAACCAGAGGAACCACAGGAACCAGAGGAACCTGAGGAACCTTAGGAACCAGAGGAACCTGAGGAACCTGAGGAACCTGAGGAACTAGAAGAAACTGAGGAACCAGAGGGACCAGAGGAACTGATTTTGTATTTAGTCTCCTGAGGGATCTGGAGGAAAGCTACTAAAGGCGACCGGATAGAGGAACCAGAGGAACCAGAGGAACCTGAGGAACCAGAGGAACTAGAGGAACCAGAGGAACTAGAGGAGCCAGAGGAACTAGAGGAGCCAGAGGAACCTGAGGAACCAGGGGAACCAGAGGAACCTTAGGAACCTGAGGGACCAGAGGAACCAGAGGAACCAGAGGAACTAGAAGAACCAGAGGAACCAGAAGAAACTGAGGAACCAGAGGAACCTGAGGAACTTATTTTGTATTTTGTCTCCTGAGGGATCTGGAGGAAAGCTAATAAAGCCGACCGGATAGAGGAACCAGAGGAACCAGAGGATACATAGGAACCAGAGGGACCAGAGGAACCAGAGGAACCAGAGGAACTAGAAGAACCAGAGGAACCAGAAGAAACTGAGGAACCAGAGGAACCTGAGGAACTGATTTTGTATTTTGTCTCCTGAGGGATCTGGAGGAAAGCTAATAAAGGCGACCGGATAGAGGAACCAGAGGAACCTGAGGAACCAGAGGAACCAGAGGAACCAGAAGAAACAGAGGGACCAGAGGGACCAGAGAAACCAGAGGAAACAGAGGAACCAGAGGAACCTGAGGAACCTGAGGAACCAGAAGAAACTGAGGAACCAGAGGAACCTGAGGAACTGATTTTGTATTTTGTCTCCTGAGGGATCTGGAGGAAAGCTAATAAAGGCACCCGGCCAAAGGAACCTGAGGAACCAGAGGAACCAGAGGAACCTTAGGAACCTGCCTCGGGTCGGACGGGATCCTCGATGCCGACGACGCAGATGCAGGTGAGTCCGTTGAGGATCTCGCCCTCGTTTTCCCAGTCCGGATCTCCCTCCCCGGGGGGGAAGTCCCGGTAGGCCATGCAGATGGTCCTCAGGCCCTCGGACGCCATCTGCTCCACCACCGTGTTCACCAGGTTATCCCGGTCCTTAGATTTAAAAACTTTAACCTCACCGCTGGCCGTCATTATCTTACAGCACCTGGAACCAGAC